TCCCTACATAGAAGGTCCTCAATTAAACTCATTTCTAAATAGAAGAATTGAGTTATCTCCTAGCTGAGATTCTGTACAGTAGATCTTTTTCCGTAAAGCATGACTAGCTAAAATTAATCACATGATATTCCCCTCCCTGTTTTTTAATTAACAAAATGTGTAAAAGCACCAAAAGGAAACTATGTAGGTCAAGAAGGACCAGTACTTCAGACAAACAGTGAAATACTTGAAAAGGGCTTCTCACTAATACATTGTTTTAACAGTGAGTTACAAGTGAAACATCCTGTGTAAGCAGTTGGGGTTTGTCAGGTGAACTGCACTGGTGACATTTGTTTTCAACATTACTACAAATTAATATCTGAAAAAGCTTTTTAATGGACAGAAATCAATTTTAGTGCTGTGAGAGCATAATCAGTATTACCTCTTTTTTTTAGTTACATTTCTGTCTCTCACAATGAAGTATTAAGGCTTTGCAGCCAAATTTTCAAAAGCGTGAGCTGATAATTATGTGCCTCAGCTTGGGTGCCCTGCTTGATACATCTTCTGCCTAGTTTTCATACTGTGTGAAGGACCCTAAGTTCATAGTGAAGTCAGTTTCTGAGGCAAAGAAAACCCGTTATGTTTTCACAATACCTCAGATAGTGGGTTCCTGATTGCAATTAGTTTTCCTGAGCTATTGCTTTACAGTCAATTAATACTGCTAATCTGACTCCAGCTGTTCCAATTAGAAGCTTTTTCCATTTGCAGAAGATGGAGCCTGTACATATTCTGCTGTTTAATTGTACTATCCTAAATGTGATGCCACAAAAGATTGAAAGGTACTTGGACATGATTCGGCAGGTGTTTTACAAATGGAATCACCAATCAGGCAATAAAAATTTCTTTTGATGATTTTTCCCTCCTGTCCTGTGGTTGACTGGTTGGCTGGCTGCCCTCACTTTTTTCCTACAAGGCGAGTTGAGTATAGAGACTTGGAGTAAACCTTAATTCCCTGCTCTTTTTTCCCTGTGTATAAACAAAAGCACTAGTGCTCTTTCTGCTTTACCTTCACACTTTTAAATTCTATTATTCATGACACCACATTACTGGTTAAACAGAAAAAACTTTTAAAAAGCTGATACTTGTTAGGATTCACATTAATGGTAGTTGGAAAGAGAGAAGATGTGTCATCAAGCTGTGTAAATCTCATATTCTCCACTGAATCTCAAACTGTTTAACCCTCTATACAACTTTTGGTATAACTGCAAGCCCTAGTTTGTGTTGATAACAATTCACAAATAGGAGTCAGGATGTTCAACAACTGGAAAGTCAGACCACCCATACTGCTGCTTAGAGTCCTACATCATTTCCCTCAAACTGCTTACTTTCCTTAGCTGGGGCTTTCTAGAAATTACACCCTAGGGTTTACAATTTATGGGGACCTTTGTATGTATCATCAGCATGTCTGGCAGCCAAGATGGTTGTCATTCTGTCAGTCTGTACTGTGATCCTGTTATAACTGACTATATTGTCAGTCTGTACTGTGATCCTGTTATAACATATATGTTGCCCTTACGCTTGCTTGTGAAACAAGAGCTATGTTAAATAACTTGGGATCATAGGAAAGTAAAGTTGGAAGGGACCTCAGGAGGTCCTCTATTCCAACCCCCTGCTCAAGGTAGGATAACCCCAGTCAAATGTCTGTCTAACTTGCACTTAAAAATATCTAAGGATGGAGAATCCACAACCTCTAGGTAGCGTGTTGCAGTGCTTAACCACCTTCAAAGTGAGAGAGGTTTTCCTAATCTCCAACCTAAATTTTCTCTGCTGCAGGCTAAGGCCATTGTTCCTAGTCCCATCCCGTAAAACCACAGAGAATAACTATCTCCATCCTTTTTATAATTGCCCTTCAAGTATTTGAAGTCTGTTGTCTAATCCCCCTTCAGTCTTTTCTTTTCCAGGCTATATCATCTTAGTTCTTTTAGCTTTTCTTCATAAATCATTTTTTCCAGGCGGCCAGTAATTTTTGTCTCTCTCCACTGGACTCTTTGTACTCTGTCTGCATTTTTCAATGTGGACATCATTTATCATAAATCAGCATTTGCTGGTATTAATCGATAGTGAATGGAAAATAACACGATCCTGTCCATTATCTTTTGATATGACAGGTCACATGTAAATTTCATTGTACTTCCCCATGGAGATGCACCATTTTACAGTGGGATTACACAGAGAAAGGGTCCATTCATATATTACCCCTTGCTCTTGCTCATAGTCAAACTGTCAAAGTAGCATGGGGAAAATAATTACCACAAAGTGAAACATCAGTACTTTAAAAAACAAACAAACAATAATCAACATCATCACAATCCATCACATTAAGCTTCTTTTTCCTTGTGCTACTGTGGTAAAAGGTATGTCTGTGTCATCCATAGGTACCAAAAGCAGTAGCCACATTAGTGCAGTACTCTGCCCATGTGAATAAGGTCTGGAATTAAGTAAGAAGCAGGATATATTAGGTCATATACCCGTATCAAGATGGAGATGATGAGAATGATGCAAAACAACAATCCAGTTAGTGCTCTGATATGTACACCTCCCTTGTGATTTAAATCCCAGTGAAGATAGCAAAGTTTTGATTTCTCTGTGCATTAGATAGACTCTACAGAGGAATAAATCTCTGGGTTAGATCTTCAGCTGCTGTATATTGGTGTCATTCTAAGAACATGAATGGGCGATTTACATAAACAGAGGATGTAACCCAGGACGGGCAATTATTTCAGGCAGAGGGCCACTTACCCAGTTTTGGCAAGCTGTCGAGGGCTGCATGGGTAGCCCCACCCCTTGACAGGTGCCCCGCCCCCTGGTCACCATCATGGGACCAATGACCCAATGTCTTGAGACCAATGTCCCAGGGCCAGCACCGGTGGGGCCCAAAGCGGGGCACAGGCTGGCAGGGGTCTGTGGAGCCAGGCTGGGCTGCACCAGCAAGGTGAGGGGGCAAGCTGGCCTGGCTCCATAGAGCCCCTGCTGGCTGGGACTCTGCGCTCCTGCCACCCTGCTCGGCCCTGCTGGCACTGGCCCCAGGACACTGGTGCAGGCCCCATGCTACTGATGGCTCTTGCACCTGCTCACTCTCAGTGCCCTCCCAGCCCCGTGGTACAGGCAGGGGGCAGTGTGCAGCCCTGAGCCCCTGCTCCCTGGTGGGGAATGAGCTGGTGCTTAGTGCGGAGAAAAGTGGCCCCTCACCCACCCCATGGCCGGTGCTCCCTGCTGCAGCTGCTCACAGCCCACCTGCGGCTGATCCGAGAAGGCACAGGCAGCCCCACGTGGGCTGTGAGCGGCTGCAACTCGGGGCGCCGGGCACGGGGCAGATGAGGGGCCACTTTTCCCCTCTGCCTGCTCAGGACAGCCCCACATGGGCTGTGAGCAGCTGCAGCACAGGGCACCGGCTACAGGGTGGAGGAGGGGCTGTTTTTCCCCCATGCTCAGCACCAG